AATTTATTTTTAGCATAATTGGGTACTTGTTTTTCTAAAATCGATTTTAGTTCTACGATGCGTTTCGGATCAGATGTGGGTTCGTTAATTTTATAAACGTTGAAGTTTTTTATGTCTTCGGTTTGAATATTGAAATTTCTTACGTATTTTACTTCGTCCGTAGTGTTTATTAGTTTTAGTATCGGGTTTTTCGTGTCAACGATACATTTCGCTGTAAAAGCACCACTACAAACTTCCTGAGCGTCTACAAAAACAGGGTTTTTGGATTTACCCAACTTAAATAACCGAAAAACTTCGCATCTAGGTGGAATTACTAAGCTGTCGGTAGTAGTACCGTGCAAAATAGAAACGCTGATCCTTTCTGTCCCCAAACCAATGGTTATGCTATCGTTTACATAGTTAATTATGCATTTTTTTTTTTTTTTAAGTCTTTTCCGAGTATGCCGTCCGAAGGAATGTTAAAGCTGTCATTTACAACGTGAAGAGTGTGCGGAATGAAAATGTCTGATACTACCAAATTTGTATTTATTGTGCCCAAGGTTTGGCCGTTTCTGATGTTACGCCCGTGATATTAATAATGTTATTGCTGTTTATTGCGGATTTGCTTGTTAGGCTTGAAAATTTTATAAGCGAAATGTCTGCTTGAGAGTCTACTAAAAAAGTGCATTGTTTGTGAGAATCACTACAATTTATTTCAATGAAATCGGAATAGTTGAGATTTAGGCAGTAAATGGATTTTTCGTCTGTAAAAGTCGTTAGTTATTTAAGTCTAGCTCCCCCAGTGTTCGCGCCTGAGGGGCTTCGGCGTTTAAAGTCCGAACATTGGCAGAATTTCGTGAATTTGAACGCGTTTGATTGTTATTTCTACTGCTTGAAGCCTGACTGTTGTTACTATTATTGTAGTTATTTTGTCCATTACTGAAACTATTATTCCTATTCTGATTGTTGTTTCGATAGCTAGTATTGCCGCTGGGTCTATTTGAATTGCCGTTAAACCTAAAGTTGTTATTGTGATATCTGTAGTTATTGCTGCCTCTATAACCTCCTCGAAAATTATTTGTCCGTATGGGACGTGACCTAAAAGCCAACACCTGCCGCTCTTTTATTATATTGTCGTGCTCCACAATCATCTTCGCTACAACATCTTTCGAGTCGCTGAAGGTTGACGATGCTAGTATTTACTTTACCATATCTGAACGGCTGTTGAGCCTACAAACATTTATTGTTTGCTCAACTGCCATCTCGTGAGCTTTCGCTTGTGTCATTCCTTCAATAATAAGCGAACGCTCCAGGGAATCTGCGAGCTCCTCTACCTGTTTCGTAAAATCTGAATAATTGTTGTTATGCACTTTCAAAGCTGCAATTTTACTAGCGAAAACTTTCGAGTTATCTGGTTTTATTTTGTTTGACAGCGCTTCTTTAATTTGACTAACTGAGCTTATTTGCGTTGGTAGGGAATCGCGAGCTTTACCTTCAAGTTTGGATTTCAAAAATGCAATAAATATTGTAGTGAGGCTTTCGTCTGATAATTCTTCAATAAGGGTAATTATATCAATAAACGAGGCAAGTGATAGCGGATCACCACTATAATTTTCCCTTATAATCGATGCGCATAAACTTATAAATGATTTCTTTTGCTCAGGTGTTGCCATTTTTGCGTTGGTATTTTGAAAGAAGTTAATATTTGGTGAGCTAGTGGTTACGTAAGGGGGGTCGTCGAATCCCAAAAAATCTTCCAGAAAAGACAAGGAACGACTTTTTTTAATACTCTAAACTTCATGGGTGCCAGTTGATCGTGCGTCAGCAAATTCTTCGTCGGAATCTGCGTCCCAATACAAAAAGTTTTCTATAATTAATTCGTCGAAATCTTCTGGTACTTTTATTTTGCAACCAATT